TGCCCTGACTGAGAATAAACCCATAACCTAGGTATGTGCCCTGACCAGGAATCGAACCCCCAACCTTTTGGTGTAGGAGATGACACTCCAACCAACTGAGCCAAACCAGCCAGGCAACATATAATCTATTTTTAATTTATAAATTGTGTGAAATATAAAATGTCCCAAAATTATATTTTTCTAAGAGACAGATTTGATCATGGCATTTAGCAGGTGCTCAGTAGATAGTTATTAAATGAGAAATCTTCGTTGAAAATCATTCTATTCTTGAAAACTTTTACATGGTTCCCTTTTGCCTTCAGGATAATGTTCTAGTTTCTTAACACTGCCCTCAAAGCCCTTTAAAGTCATAATATTGCATGCTGCTTTGCCTTCTACCCTTGCACTTTATGCTTTAGCCATCCCAAACTACTCAAACAGGACACAAAACACTCTGGGAAAACTAGTTAATTTGATTATGTCAAAATTTTAAATTTCTGTATTTGAAAAGAACAAAGGCCTAAAAATAAGAGACATGAAGAGCCCTGGCTGGTGTTACTCAGTGGTTAGAGCGTCAGCCTGTGCACCAACGGTCTCGGATTCAATTCCCAATCAAGGGCCTGTACCTGGGTTATAGGTTCAATCCCCGGCCCCGGTTGGGGCACACGCAGGAGGCAACCAATCGATGTGACTCTCTCACATCGATGTTTCTCTCTCTCACTCTCTCCCCATTCCTTCCTTTCACACTCTCTAAAAATCAGTGGAAAAACATATCCTCGGGTGAGGATTAACGAAGGGGGGGGAGACATGAAGAAAATACTTGCAACATGTGTAAGAGATAAAGGATTAGTGTTCATAATATATAAAGAACACCTGTTGACAAAAAAAAAAAGAATATGCACAGCAATTTAAAGAAGAAATACCAATAAAACCTATAAAATAAACACCAGTAAAAATAAAGCTTAACCTCATAAGTAACCATAGACTGCAAATGAAGACAAAGATATTTTTCACCCACTAGACTGGCAAAATATAAATACGTTATTGTGAGTCAATAAATGTGATACACCACATAAACAAAATGAAGGATAAAAATCACATTATTATATCAATAGATGCAGAAAAACATTTGATAAAATCCAGCACCCAAAAGTGGGAATAGAGAGAACATACCTCAATGTAACAAAGGCCATATATGACAAACCTACAGCCAATATCATACTCAACGGGCAAAAGCTAAAAGTGTTTCCCTTAAGATTGGGAACAAGACAGGGGTGTCCGCTTTCACCACTCTTATTCAACATAGCACTGCAAGTCCTAGACACAGCAATAAGACAAGAAGAAAAAAAAGACATCCAAATTGGGAAGGAAGAAGTAAAACTCATTTGCAGGTGAAATGATACTATATAGAGAGAACTCTAAAGATTCCACCAAAAAACTACTAGAACTGATAAATGAATTCAGTAAAGTAGCAGGATACAAAATAAATATTCAGAAATCTGTTGCATTTTAGAACAATAATGAACTATCAGAAGAATTAAGGGAATAATCTCCTTTACAATTGCTCCAAAAAGAATAAAATACCTTGAAATAAATTTAACCAGGGATGTGAAATACCTATACTTGAAAATTTTAAGACACTGAAGAAAGAAATTGAAGAAGATACAAATAAGTGGAAGAATATACCATGTTCCTGTACAGGAAGAATTAAGAGTAAACTGAAAATGGATTAAAGACTTAAATGTTAGACTCAAAGCCATAAAAATCCTAGAAGAAAACATATACAGTAAAATTTTGGACATTTCTTGTAGCAGTATTTTTTCTGATATATCTCCTCAGGCAAGGGAAACAGAAGGAAAAATAAACCAATGGGATTACATCAAACTAAAAAGTTTTGCACAGCAAAGGAAACCATCAACTAAATGAAAAGGCAACCTGCTGAATGGAGGAACATATTTGCCAATGAGCCAATGACACATCGATAAGGGGTTAATATCCAATATTTATAAAGAACTTACACAACTCAACGCCAAAAAAACACACCAACAAAAGACAATCCAATTTAAAAATGGGCAAAGGTCAAAAGATTTATCAACCTTTTTCAGCGGTTGAGCATCGATCTAGGATCCAGGAGATCGCAATTCGACTTGTGGCCCGGGCACATGCCTGGGTTGCGGGCTTGATCCCCAGTCGGGGGCGTGCAGGAGGCAGCTGATCAATGACGCTCATCATTGATGTTTTTATCTCTCTCTCTCCTTCTCTCTGAAATCAATAATGATAAATTTTTTTTTTTTAAATGGGCAAAGGATCTGAATAGACACTTCTCTAAAGAGAACATACAGATGGCCAATAGACATATGAGAAGATGCTCAATGTCACTAATCATCAGAGAAATGCAAATTAAAACCATAGTGAGATATCACCTCACACCTGTCAGAATGGCTATCATCAATAAATCAACAAACAACAAGTGTTGGCAAGGTTGTGGAGAAAAGGAAACCCTCATGCTCTGTTGGTAGAAATGCAAATTGGTACAGCCAATTTCCATACTGTGGAAAGCAGTATGGAGTTACCTCAAAAATTAAAAATAGAACTGCCTTATGACCCAGAGATTCCACTTCTGGAGATACATGTGAAGAAACCTAAAACACTAATTCAAAAGAATATATGCACCCCTATGTTTATTGCAGCATTATTTACAATAGCCAAAATCTGGAAGCAGTCCAAGTGTCCATTAGTAGATGAGTGGATAAAGAAAAAGCTGTGGTACATTTACACAATGGAATACTACTCGGCTTTAAAAACAAAGGAAATCTTACCTTTTGTGACAGCATGGATGGACCTAGAGAGTATTACGCTAAATAAAATAAGCTAGTCAGAGAAAGACAAATACCATATGATTGCACATATATGTGGAATCTAACGAACAAAATAAACTCACAAACAAAATAGAAACAGACTCATAGATACAGAGAACAGACTGCTGTTAGAGGGGAAGGGGTTTGGGGGACTGGGTGAAAAAAAAACCTCAAAACTCATAGACACAGACAACAGTATGGTGATTACCAGAGGGAAAGGGGGATGGGAGGGGGTAGAAGAGGGTAAAGGGGGTATAAATGGTGATGGAAGGAGACTTGACTTGGGGTTGTACAGTGTGTGGCCCTTTTAGATTGGCCTCTTCTGCTCGGTGGTGTGCATTTGGGATTCTTGCCTGTCTTTTCATGGCTTGCTGTCTCACATTTTTTAAATACCTGGGTGATGTCTTATTGTCTGGATGTACCACGGTTTGTTTGTTTTTACACCTATGGAAGGACATGGAATTGTGTTTTTGTGTATTGCCCTAATTTAGTTTGAGAATTTAGGCAGCATATACTTGGGTCCTTTTCAAAAAAATCCATTCTACTATACTTTGCTTTTTGATCGGTATGCTCTGTCCATTTACATTTAGGATGATTATTGATATATGAGGACTTAATATAGCCATTTTAGTTTTTGTTTTCTGGTGGCTCTGTATTGCCATTGTTTATTTTCCCTTATGTTTCTGTCTGTTTTAGTTTTGTGATTTTCTATGATTTTTTCCTCTGTTTCATCTTTTTTTATGTTATGTGTCTCAACTCTAGATTTTGTGTGTGTGGTTACCATTAGGTTTATGTAAGAAATGTTTCATACATACAATAGTCCTTTTCTTTTAACTGCATCATCTTCATTCTCTTGTGCAAACAGGTTCGACCCTTTCCCCTTTGCCTTTTATGTTTTTGTTGTAATAAATTATCCCATTTTATACTGTGTGTTTGTTTCCAAAGTTGCAGAAATTATAGTCTTTTTTTAAGTGCTTTCTTCCTCTAACCTTTATGTTATAACTAAATGATTCATACTCTATTCTGAAAGAGTTGTAATTTCCTTCCTTTGTGTGTTTGTAATCTTACTCAGAGTTTTGTAACTTTTTGTTTCTGGTAGAAGAGCTCTTTTCAACATTTCTTTTTTTATTTTTATTTTTTTCATTTTAGACGGAGAGGGAGAGAGACAGACAGACAGGCAGACATTGATGTGAGAGGGCAACATCAATCAGTTGCCTCCCATAAGCACCCTAACCGGGGTTTGAACCTGCAAGCTGGGTATGTGCCCTGACCAGGAATCAAATCCATGACCCTTCTGTGTATGGGATGATGTTCCAACCAACTGAGCCATACTAGCCAGAGCTCAACATTTCTTGTAATGCAGGTCTTGTGATAAATTCCTTCAATTCTTATTTGCTGGAAAAGCCTTTATTTTTCCTTCATATGTAAAGGGTAACTTTTCTGGATAAGTTTCATGGCTGGTGGTTTCTCTCTTTTAAATTTTTGAATATTTCATTCACTCTCTCCTAGCATATCAGGTTTCTGCTGAAAAATCTGATGATAACCTAATAGGGTTTCCTTTTAGGTTACTGTCTTCTTTACCCTGGCTGCCTTGAGAATTCTTTCTTTGTCCCTGAATTTTGACATCTTTAGTGTAATGTGTCTTGGAGAAGGTCTTTGTGCACTGAGATAATTAGGTATTCTGAAAGTCTCTTGAATGCAAAAGTCCAGCTCTTTGCCTGGGTTTTGGAAATTCTCATCAATTATTTGTTTGAATAGGTTCTCTGTTCTCTTCTCCCATCTTCTCCTTCTGGTATACTCATTATTCTTATATTGCTCTTTCTAATGGAGTCAGGTAGTTCTCATAGAGTTTTTTCATCTTTTTAACTCTCAGTGTTCTCTCTTCATCCACCTGAGTAATTTCTAGATTTCTATGTTAGAGCTCGCTAATTCTCTCTTTCATCTGGTCTTCTCTGTTTCCCACACTCCTCTCTGATTCATCCTTTTTTCTTTTTTTTCTTTTTTTAATATATCTTCATTGATTTCAGAGAGAGGAAAGGAGGGGGAGAGAGAGAGATAGAAACATCAGTGATGAGAGAGTCATTGATCGGCTGCAGCCCGCAACCCGGCATGTGCCCTGACCGGGAATCGAACCCTGATCGCCTGGATCCTAGGTCGATGCTCAACCGCTGAGCCACGCCCGGCCGGGCTCTGATTCATTCTTCACCTCATTTATTGAGCTCTTCAGCCCCAGAATTTCTTGTTGGTTCATTTTATAGTTTCAGTCTCTTTGATAAAGTGCTTCTTTTGTTCATTGATTTTATTCCAGAGCTCGTTTGAACTGTGTTTCTGAGTTGTCTTGTATCTCATTAAGTTTTTTCAAAACTGCAATCTTGAATTCTCTGTCATTTAAATCATAGTCATCCATGTTTTTGAGTTTGGTTTCTGGAGAGTTTTTATTTTCCTTCTGAGCTAATTTGTTACCATGGTATTCATGGTACTTGATGGATTGTTTCTTTGCCCTGGCATTTGAGGAAGTGAACTCTTCTTTTTAGGTATGGTTTATATCTTTTAAGGATTCCTTTCCTTCAACTGTGAAAGGGACAAGAATAAATTTTGGAAAGTTATAAGGAACAACAATATATAAGTGGTAGGCAGAGGAAAAGGGATTAGAGCATTGCCCACTGAGAGAGACCATGGAAGTAAAGCAAGACGCAGCTGTCAGCAATATCAGATACCTTCAACACTTAAGAAGTAATGAGGTCTATTGCATGAGCAACATAAGGGTGTTTTATATTACTAACCAGAGAAATTTCAGTTGTGTCCTGGCAGCAGAACAGAAGCAAGATTATAGAGAATTGAAAATCAGTGGGTAATGGGAAATAGTGACAAGTATTGACAATCCTTTGAAGAGTGCCGCCTTGAAAAAGAATGGATAGTAGTTGCAAAGGGGTAGGTAGCCAGTGAAGGTTTTTAATGTAGGGAGAGACATTAAATGATTTTAAATGATGATAAGAAGGAGTCAATAAAAGTGAAAGATCAAGTTGATGTATAGGAATGAGAAGATATGTGCTAGATTCAGGCCTGTAGGGAGGCTGGAGAGAATGGACTGATTCCAAGGAAGAAATACCTTTTAATGCAAATCCCTGGGCCAATATTCCCCCCTAGAACTACTATTTCATTAGGTCTGGGGTCTGCTTTCAACAAATATCATGATTCAAGTGATCTTTAGACCACACTCTGATAAGCACTTCTCTTTTTTCTGTTTTCCCACATCTATTAACCCACTCCTATCTTCATTTCTTTTCCATACAGTCTAGAACCTCGGTCTCCTGACTCATGGTCTAGTGTTTTGTAAGGTAAGAAAGATATCAGAAGTGGTGTGGCTTCAGAAGTGGGTGACTGGAGTAGAATGATGGTGAAAATCATTGGGCTTGAGAAAGTAAATGAAAAGTTCTAATAACTGTTTGAATTCTTGCTTGCATCAAAGAAAGTTATAGGTCATTTTAAAAATATGTAGATGCCAGACTTCACCTCAACAGATTCTGATTTAGTAGCTCTTGGGTGGAGCCTGGACATATATATATATTTACATCTGTATATTTTAAAATCTGGACTGAGTCTAATGTACAGCCCAGACTGAGAACCACTACATGGGGTTTTTACATGGTCAGTAAAGTTTACTCCATTTTATGAAAGTACTTGGGGTGAAAAAGGAAAACTGGTAAGCCCGTATTCATTTGTCATCTGAATTGATTATAATTCTGGTATTCCTTAGGCAGTCAAGCGAATTAGTTACTTTCCAAGCATCATGGTTGCTTGTGGCAATCCCACAGGCTTCTCTGGAAAGTTCTTCAACTTTAGAGTCCTTCATTAAACCAGGAAACTGAGAACTAAATCAGCACTTCCAAAGTTGTGTCTATGGAACCTTAGTCTCATTAGTTGCCATAAAAATGTCTCAAATTAACTAAATTTGCATGCAATATATAATATATTTGACATGCTCTTCATCCCCTTGGTTTCACATATATGAAGGAGAAATGCTGTTCTGCCTAACTTAATTGTGGTTTTTATTGTTGTGAATGAGTGGTTTTGAGGCGATTGGGTTGAAACATCAGAGCATTCTCATAGATTGTGTCTGGCTCTTACAATAGGACTTTTTTAGAGCTTTTGCTTGGTGAATTAGTGACACAATTCTTAAAGTACTTTTAAATTACCCCTGAAAGGTCTGCTTCTTAGTGAACTGGTTGTACAATGTTAGATCTATGACATGTCTTGGGTAGTGAGTGGCTTCCTTACCTAACAGGTCCATTCTACCACTGGAACTACTACAGTTTCCTTCCTTCCTTCCTTCCTTCCTTCCTTCCTTCCTTCCTTCCTTCCT